GGGCTGGGGATTCGAACCTGCCACCTTAGGTGTATGTGGCTGGCGCCTTAGCCGCTTGAGCCACAGGTGCTGAGCCAACCACAGTCAGTTTTAGAACATTTCCATCACCCCTCCAAAAGAAATCCTGTGTCATTAGCCATGACTCCCCATTTCCCCTCAACTCCCCTGCTCTTTTCAGCCATTTTCTCTGTCTCTATGGATTTGCCTACTTTAGACATTTCACATAAATGGGATCATATGTTATATGGCCTTTTGTGTCTGATTGTTTTCACTTAGTATAACGTTTCCAAGGTCCATCTGTGTTGTAGCATGGACCAGTACTTTATATCTCTTTATTGTCAAATAGTATTCCACTGTATGGGTATAATGTGTTCCATAAAATGGGTTTACCATGTTATTTACCTACAAGTGAACATTGGAGTTGGTTTCTTTTTTGGGGGTGGGGGGCAGAATCTCACTTTGTCACCCTCGTTAGAGTGCTATGGCATCATAGCTCACAGCAACCTCAAACTCATGGTCTCAAGTGATTTTCTTGCCTCAGCCTCCCTTATAGCTAGGATTACTGGTGGACATTGGAGTTGCTTCCATTTGGGGCCATTATGAAAATGCTAGGCTGGGCTGGGTGGCTCCTGCCTATAATCCTAGCACTCTGGGAAGCCAAGATGGGTGGATTGCTTAAGGCTTAGGAATTCGAGACCAGCCTGAGTCAGAACGAGACCTCATCTCTAAAACTTGAAAAATTAGCTGGGCTTGGTGGCTCAGGTCTGTATTCCCAGTGATTTGAAAGGCTGAGGCAAAAGAATGACTTAAACCCAGGAATTTGAGGTTACTGTGAGCGATGATGCCATGGCACTCTATCCAGGGTGACAGAGTGAGACTCTTTCTCAAAAAAAAAAAAAAAAATGTTGCTATGAAAATTTCCTGTGCAAGTTTTTGTGTGAACAAGTGTTTTTATTTCATGAGAATATGTATCTAGGACCGGAATTGCTGGTCACGTTGGTAGTTCTATGTTTAAACCTTTTGAGGAACTGCTAGACTGTGTTCCAAAGCACTGTGCAATTTTACACTTCTGTTGACATTGCCTGAAGCTTGCAATTTCCCCACATCCTTGTCCAACACTTGTGATTAGCTGTCCTTTTAATGATAGCCATCCTAGTGGACATGAAGTGGTTTTAATTTGTAGTTCCCTCTTAAGTAATGGCATTGAGCACCTTTTATGTGCTTAATGCCCAGTTCTGAATCTGTCTATTCTAATGCTTTGCTCACTTCAAAATCGATTATTTATCTTTCTGTTGTTGAGTTATAAGAATTCTTTACCTATCCTGGATACTAGTTGTTTATCAGGTATGTGATTTGCAAATATTATCTCCCATTCTGTGGATCGTCTTTCACTTTCCTGATAATGTCCCTTGAAGCACAGAAGTTTTTAATTTTGATAAAGTTTAATTTATCTAATTTTTTTTGGTCATTTGTGGTTTTGGTATCCTAAGAAGCTTTGCCTGGCCGAGGTCACAATGACTTATTTCTATATTTTCTTCTAATGATTTTACAGTTTTGCCTCTTATATTTAGGCCTGTGGTTCACTTTATGGTGTGAGGAAGAGGTCCCACTCTTTCCCTGGTGTATACCCAGGAGTCTCTCTCCTTCATTTGTTGAAAAGACTCCTCTTTCCTACTTGAATGGCCTTGGTACCCTTTTCAAAAATCAACTGGCCATAAATGTAGGAGTTCCTCTTCTATTTAGTGATTTGTCATGTGCTTATTCTTTTGAAATAGGGGCAGGAAAATTCAAACAAATGTGAAAGAAAAAATGTTTTGAAAAACTTTAAAGAAGACATTCTAGGGAAAAGATTCTAATAGGACACTCACCTTCTCTAGAGAGGCTAAAGCCACCCTGCTCTGTCCAGCAGGCCACAAACAAGGAGAAACATTCATTTTAAGGGAATGAAACTGAATCAGTGGCTTAGAGCCTCTACCTCCTCATCAAAGGAGTGGCCCAAGTGGCTCGGCACCTGTGGCTCAAGCGACTAAGGCACCAGCCACAAACACCTGAGCTGGTGGGTTCAAATCCAGCCTGGGCCCACCAAACAACAATGATGGCTGCCACCAAAAAATAGCCAGGCGTTGTGTCAGGCACCTGTAGTCTCAGCTGCTTGGGAGGCGGAGGCAGGAGAATTGCTTGAGCCCAGGAGTTTGAGGTTGCTATGATGCCACAGCATTCTACCCAGGACGACAGCTTGAGGCTCTGTCTCAAGAAAAAAAAAAAAGAAAGAAAAAGAAATGTCCCAAGTAAGTCTTGGAGAAAGTTATGTCTTATGGCTGTTAGGTCTTGTGGTTTGGGAGGCCTACCCTGCTTTGCTGGGGGAGGATTATGCCGAGGAAGGGATATTCTGAATGTCACTTAACTTCTCTTGGCCTCCAAGCTGTCATCTGTGAGATGGGAATAATTTGGGGAACAAATGAGATAATGTGTATGAACGTTCATAAGCTGCAGAGTGCTGCTGATGTTACTGGTGGTGACAATGGTGATGATGCTGAAAGGCAGAATCTCAGGACTGGGCCTTCCAGGGGCCACCCCGACCTTACCTAGTACTGGATCCCTTCTCCCATATTCCCACCAAGTGGCCACCCAGCGGCCATCCAGCCCGAACCCTTTAGTAACAGGGAGCTCGGGAAGGCCATTTTACATCTGGTCTCCTTACATGTTAAAACATTTTCTTTTCTCTTGAGTCAAAAAAGCAAAATATGGCCCAAAGATAAAAAAAAAGAGAGAGAGAGAAGAAAAAAAATTATTATATCAACTATGCTAGGCACTGGAAGAGCTCTTTTATATAGTATTTTATCTGATCATTCACATAATCCTGTGAGGTCAGTATTCTACTCTGTAGCCCTCTGTACCCCCTGTGGGGGCAGGCTCAGGAGGTTACATGGCTTGCCCAGTTCCCCATCAATTCCCAAGGGAGATTCTCAGTTCACTCCCTGGGGTTACATGGACCAGGGCTCACCCTTCTCCTCCACACTGACCCTTGACCACCAACCTCTGCCAGATGTTCACCTCACCAACGTTGCTGTGCAAAAGACATCTCCTGACTACCATCCAAAGAAGGTGAGGAAGCGGAACTCTGTTCTCCATGGGTACAGACTTCTAGGGCTGGGCTGGGAGTCGGGATGCACAAGTGAAAAGGAGCCCAGGACAGGCCTATTTGGGGCTCAGAATTCACCAGGGAGGGGAGGCTCACCCGGCCCATTTGCAGGGCCCAGGGCAAGAGTGCACATTGAGGCCCACATATCACGTGTCTAAATATTCAAAACTTACAAACCGCACTTATGCACCCCTATATAAAATGTGTCCTCTCCTCCTACCTTGATATATATCTTCTATCTATTGATCAATTGATCAACTAATGGGTCATACAGATATGCTTTGTATCTATCTAATCCCTATAAAATAACCTGCAAGGCCAAATTCAAATATAGAATTCTAAGATTTCTCATAATGAAGGGCCAGATCAGAGGAGCACAGGAGAGCGGCCCCCAGCTCACACCTGCTCCCTGCTTCTTCTTACCCGGCTCCATCCCACAGTGAGGGCCTTGTGCATACATACCCCTGAAAACAGCAACCTGTTAGTCACTCCATGGCCTTGGGACACACACATGCTCAGTGCATCTGTCCTTGAGAAGGCAGGCTCAGGGAAGGGGCCTACACAGTCTCTGTGGGCAGGACTTCCAGGGTCCCAGGGAGCTGGTCCTCTTGGACATGCAGGACCTTCGCCCCACAAGGAGGGGCATACCCAGAGTCATCCCAAGCACAGGAATCAAGGATGGGCCCCTCTTGCCCAAGCCTAAGAATGGTGCTGATCACAATTGTTTAGGGTCCAGTAGCTGGGTCGTAGCTAACTAAGACCCTTCTCCCAACCTGGCTGCCCGGGCCTTAGGGCTGCAAGTGGATGCTTCAGCGCTTCCGGCAGTACCTGGCGTCCAAGCATGGGCCGGAGGCGATAGAGACGCTCTTCAGTGACATGGACAACATCTTTGTCAAAAGCCTGCAGAGTGTGCAGAAGGTGATCATTAGTGACAAGCACTGCTTCGAGCTGTACGGTTACGACATCCTCATCGACCAGGACCTCAAGCCGTAAGTGGGGGGGGTGGGGGGGGCAGGTGGCCCAGCGAGCCAAGAGGTCATATTTTGTACACTCTGCATCCAGACCACCTGGGCTTGAATCTCAGCTCCGCCACTTCCTACCTGTATAACCTTGGGCCACTTCCTTTCTTCGTGCCTCACTTTGCCCACTTATAGAATGGGGCTGGTCATTGTGCCTATATCTTATAGCATCATTAGGAGGAGTGAGCGATCTATTGTTTGAGCAGTAGAAGTCCTTTCCTGGTCATCTGCGGAGTCGGGAATCTTTCCCTGGCACCTGGCAGTAAACTTCAGGACTCCTCTGTGAGTCCCGATGCTTTGAGGATGTAAAGCACCTTGTAAGGGAATATTGTCACAGTGTCGATCTCCGCCAAGGATTTGGTGCACTCCTTAGCGCTCATGGAAGAGGTCAATCTGACCGCAGGATAAGCCTCACCTGACAGGGACCACAGTGATGGCTTCACATGATATGACAGGCCATGGAAGCCTGGCAGGGGGTTTTGGGGAAGCTCAAGGTCATGTAGCAAGTCAGAGGCAATGCCAGGCCCAGGGTCTGAGTTCCTGGGCTAAGCTGCTCCCCACTAGCACCACAGGCTCCAGGACCCTATTCAGATTCTCCCAATGTGCTGAGGGGCTTCCTGAGCCAGGAGCAGGAGCCCTAAAACAAGCCCTAAGTCAGGCCTTGGTTCAAGGGGAGCAGGATCCCAGCAGCAGCGGGTCTCTCTCCTTTGCCACTGCAGTGTGGCTGTGAGTATCAGAGTGGATATCAGTGTGGGAAGAAGCTTGGGCGGGCAGCCTATGGCAGAAAGAGGTGCTGGTCTCCCGCTGGGTGTGCCTGTCCTTCTCTGCCCAGCTTCTTGTCTGTAAAAAGAAGCGGTGTGAGCTGGAGATCCTTGGGCTGCTTTTGGCCTGCAGATCTTTTTGCCCTTCAGAATGAATTTGTTTTTAACATAGCTTTATAGACAAACACTGAATTTGGGAGATGTTTACTTAAAAGTCAGGATTTGGGGCTTTTCTAGAAAAATTAGATGATCTCGGCATTCTGGGCTCGCATTCCTTTCCAGCTCATCACAGTCCCACCCCTTTCTACTGCCTCCCCGATGCCTGCCACAGCAGGTCAGTTGCCATCTGCAGGCACATTTGTACTGGGAATAGGAAGTTCTTCTACAGCACGAGGACACCGGATCATTCTTAGACCTGCCCTGCTCTCCTCGTTTAACTTTTCTTTTCTTTAACGTGGAAAAGTGTAGGGGGCAGCCTGGCTGAACTGAGGGTAGAACTGGGCACTCCATTTGGTCTGAAATCCCAGGGGCTCCAGGGACTGAGTGACCCTGAGGCTCTCCACTCCCTCCCTCTCTAGGTGGCTCCTGGAGGTTAATGCCTCCCCATCGCTGACAGCCAGCAGCCAGGAGGACTATGAGCTCAAGACCTGCCTCCTGGAAGACACCCTGCATATTGTGGACATGGAAGCGAGGTGAGGGAGGGCAGCCTTGGTCATGCACCCCCATACATAAGAACTGAGCCTCCCACCAAGGAAGAGGGAGAACTTAGAGCCTCGGGACTCGAGTGCCCTTAGAGATGGCCTGCCACACCATTTGATAAACGGAGAAACTGAGATATCCACATAGGGTCAGGTCCTAGCCCAAGGACTCAGCCTCTCTGGGGCAGAGCAGGGTCAACTACAGCAGTCTGAGATTCGGTCTAGAACAATTTCCTCAAAACTTTCTGGCGATGGGACCCTGGAGTAGTCACTTCACTTCTCCAAGCCTCAGCCTCCTCATCGGCAAAATGGGAACTATTTAATATGTCTGCCTCTCAGAGTTGTTAGATTAATTTGCCAAGATAATGTACTGTGTAGTGCCTAGCTTAAGTAAGTACTCAATAAGAGGCTATTTATCGTTACAACAATTTGTATACAATGAAAAAAATCCAGGGTCTGGTTTCAGGAATGGATGAAGCCAGATGCTTGGTCAATGTCGGCTGGTTCCTCTCTCATCTCTCTCTCTCTCCCTCTCTACCCCTTTCCCCTCTGTATTAGCTTTTCCCCAGTTGTTCAGCAAGACTCTGAGGGCTGATTCTCATTGCTGGGGATTAGGGTATAGACCCATTCCTGAACCACTCATCATGACTCTAATTGACCAGGTATAGGTCTTGTGCCCACCTCCCAGAAAGTGGGGTCAACCCCACCTAAGCCACATGGGTGAGAGAAGGAAAAGTCATTCCCAAAAGAAAAACCAAGGTACTCTTGGACTAGAAGAAGATGAAATGAATGCTGACCAGGCAGAAACCACAGGTGTCCAGTGTTCCCACCATAACTTACACATTCAACAATCATCTGAGCCCTACTCTGAGCCACACATTGGGGACATAGTAAAGAGTAGAGTACGCAACAGAACTAATCCCTGTCTTCGTAGAGTTTATGGCCTGGGGAGGAAAGGAGACTTCAAACCAGAAATCACAACAGTGCATGCTACTCAGGAAGGGAGCCTTGGGGAACAAATAGGAGATGATTCCTCTGCCTCCTTCATGGGCACCTGGGAAACAGTCAGTAGATGGTTCCACGAAGAAGTAATCCTGATGAGGGGACACCAGTTCATGGCCCTACCAGGTGCACTTTCATTAATTCTGTGTTTCTCCTGCCTATCCAGGCTCACAGGAAAGGAGAAGCGAGTTGGAGGCTTTGACCTCATGTGGAATGATGGCCCTGTCAGCAGAGAAGAGGGTGCTCCTGACCTCTCGGGGATTGGAAACTTTGTGACCAATACGCATCTTGGTATGTAGGGCCTGGTGAGGAGGGAGCATAAGGGATGGGCCATAGGAGGTGCCAGAAAGTCTAGGAGGCAGCTCGGCATAATGGGCAGATTGTTAGACTTCAATCTGCAACTTACAAGCTGTGTGACCTTGGGCAAGGGACCTAACCTTTCTGTTCCTCATCTGTAAAATAGAGATTAAAGGTTTCTATCTCAGTAAATGCCTAGAATACAGCCTGGCATATAGCGAGAGATATTATTATTCATCTGTCCAGAGATGGATGTCAAAAGGCCTAGGTTGAAAACAAGCAAATGAGAAAAATGTATAATATGTTGTTAAGAGAAATTAGGACTTCAAGGCTTGACTTTAAACTCGGTTTCTAAAAAGTGGAAAATGTTCATGATTATAAAAAGTATTCACACTCATTGTAGAATATTTGAAAACTAAAGAAGGAAATAAAAAACCATCCAGACATAAGCATCTTTAACAATCTGGTGTATTTCCTTCCAGTTTTTCAAAAATGCATATATTCATACTTTTTTCTTTTACAAAATTGGCATTGGCCTGGAGTTTCAAGTTCCACTTTTCCATGCAGCATTTTCCATTGAAGAATATTAACAGGAGCTTCCTTTTTTGAAGCAGTTTTTGACCAGGTCTGGATGAAGTGTTTTACATATGTTACCTCATTTTATCTTTAGACAGCTTTCGTTGTCATTTTACAGGTGAGGAGACCATCTCCAGACGTTAAATAATTTGCTGAAAGTCTCAGTCCTAAGTGATGAGTTGGACTATGAACTCCAGTCTGACTCCAGAACCTGAACGCTTGAACCACTAGACTCTCTTGCTCCTTGGCAGAGTTAAAAACAAAATTTACCGTATTTCAACTTGTATATGTGCCGACACTTACAAACCGATTTCTTGTAATTGGATACTTGGCACAATTCCAATTTTTTTTACTTTTATAAGTAAGGCCATGATGAACGTCCTCTCATATAAAGCTCAACCAAAATTCAGGCTGTTTCCTTAAGACAAATTCCTAGAAGTATTGGGTCCACGGGGTAGACTTAATACAACCAAAGTTCTTCCCAGAAAGATTATACGTATTTGCCAGTTTTGAATTTCAAAAAAATCAATTTGCTAAGTAAAAAGTACTGACTTACTGTGGTTTATGCATTCTGTGGATTACTGGTGAGGTTTTGGTTTTTAAAATGTGCGTTTCTTTTATAAGCTGCCCTGACTCTTATCTTTCTATCAGTTGTTTGCAGTTTTCTAAGTTTATAAGCCTTTGGATGACTAAATGACACTTTTCAAGCTTTAATGTACATATGATTATGTGGCAATCTTGTTAAAATACAGATTATGATTCAGTAAGTCTGTGGGGTGGGGGTGGGGGGACCCAAGATCGAATTTCTAACAAGTTCCTGGTGATGTTATATTGATTAACTATTGCTGTGTCACAAATCTTCCTCAAACCCAGCAGCGTAAAACTTATTTTATTTGTTGAGGATTCTTCAGTAGAATCTTCAGGGGACACCTGAAGAATCCAGGTCACTCAGACAGCTGCAGGCATCTGGCAGATTTACTGAGGCTTGATGGCCCGAGATAGCCTCAAGCTGGGGGTTGATTGATACTGGCTGGCAGGGAGCCCCTCATTCCCTGTGGCTGCTCATTCTCCAACTATCTAGCCCTGGTTTCTTCATAGGGTTGACTCAGGGTTCCAAGAAGGCAGGAAAAGACATCACAACACCTCTTGAGGCCTAGGCTCAGAAGACCCATAATATCATATAATCCATTAATCAAAGCAATTTGCTAGTCCAGGCCAATCACCCCATAAGGAAATAGATTTCAAAGTCACCTTGCAGAAAGGTGTGCATATAGGAATGGAATCCTTGCAGCCATGTTTGCTAAAAATGCACCTCATATGTCCATGCTGCTAGTTCCTCAACCCCTGTTTGAGTAGCAAAGGTGGAGGACAGTGGTTCTCCCTTATATATTGGAATCAAACCAGAGCTTTAAAGAATACTGATGCCTGCCAGAGATAAAGATATGGTTGTCTGAGCATCAGTATTTTTTAAAGCTCCTAGGTGACTCTAATATGTGGCCCCTTTTGAGAGTCTCTGCTTTAGAAGTCTCTGGAATATTCCTAGGTTTCCAGTTGGGTGTCTGGGTGGATGGTGGTAGACACAAGAGGAGTTGGCTGGGAGCAAGACTGCTGAATCGAGCTAGCGAGGTGCTCAGGGACATCCAGGTGAAGAGGCCAGCAGATAACTCAGAGATGAGTCTAGAACCCCAAGAAGAGGGTTTGCGTTGGACACAAAGACTTGGGAGTTGTGACTGAGCCAGATACAGCTAGAGCCAGGGCTCCATGGCACTCCCTTTGGGAAGTGCTGCGGACACATGTAGTGAGCTGTCAGCTCAGGGAAGCCTTAATGGCTGGTGAGTGCGTAGGCGGCAGGAACAGAGTTTGGGGCTCAATTAAGGCTGCCAGACACCTCATGGTCAATACTAAGGACACAGAGAGTCTATTATTCAAACAGCATTTTCAAGTGTCATCAATGTGCCTGGCACAAGACTAAGTGACTGTGGAGTTGCCTCAAGGATCAGCTCTGAGAGGAGACAGTAAACAGGTCAACACCACGTGCTGCGAGAGGAGGCATCTCAGCGGCTCCCAGCAGCTGCTTGGCTGGACTGCCTGAGACACACTTCTGTGAGACCAGGGGCCGCTTGTGGGGAAAATGTTTCTCTTAGCCAATTGTGCCTGGAACATAGGCTGGGTAATAGAAGAAAGCTAGCATTCCTGGGCACCTCTTAGGTACTAAACACTGTCCTTGAAATGCATTTTCACTTTTTTCCTGCCAGGAGGAAAGGCACAGGGCAGTAGTGATTAAGATTTCGGCTTGGCACCTGGTAGCCTGGGTTCAAATGACTTACCCTCTCTGAGCTGGTTCTCCCTTCTACACATCATCCCTGAGAGGGCTCAAGTCCCTCCGTGTTCAGCACCTGTAGCAGTTCCCAGCTTGAGGGAAGCCCCCAACGGATGTTAGCTTTTGTTGATGAATCCTTATGTTCACTGCATTAAATTAGGAAATATCCTGGTTTACAGATGGCAAAACTGATGTTCAAAAGAGTAAATGACCTGCTTGATGGCCATGACATTCAGGAATGGAGCCTCAAGCCATGCACAGTTGCAGGGCACCTGATGACCCCTGCTCTCACCAGGTAGTGGGGGCACAGGCACCTCCAAGGGTAGGTCGTCCCAGCCAATGCTCTTTCTCTTCCAGGCTGTGTCAACGACCGGAAAAAACAGCTGAGGCAGCTGTTCTGCTCTCTTCAATTCCAGAAGAAATCTTCCAGTTGATCTCTGGCTGCTAGGAGGAAAGTGGCCCTGGGAAGGGCCACCCAGGCCTCTTCCTCAGCCCCCGATTCCAGCACAGCAGCACCTTGTAGCATTCACCTCCCTCCCTTCAGCCTGGCAGCAGCTTTGCTGGGCTCAGCAGCCACTCCTTGCCACTTGGATTGGGCCCCCTGGACACCTCCACCTTGTATCTGGGCATCTTTGCACAAAGACACAGCCAATACCCAGGACTGGAGGTATTTTAACCTTGACAGATTGGCTTGGCAATTGGGCCCAACAAGGACAAATGCAGCAAGTTCTGCTACCCTAGAGAGATCACACCTAATAAATGAGCACAGTCCTCGCTTGGAGAGTCACTGGACACCAGACCTGTCTCAGGGATGCTCTTGGCTGCAGCCAAGTCCTCTTGGCTTTGATACTCAGATGTCTCTTAGGTCACTGCTTAAAGGGTCCTTCAGGACCAAGAGTTCAGAGGTGAAGGAACTTGTGTTTAAGCTGTGCTTCCAAAGCAAGCAGTTATTAGGCTGTGTGTTTACTGGGCGTCTAGGGATTTGCTGAGCCTCATACAAATCCTCTGCTCCCTGCACATTGGAGAAACCCAACCACCATTTGAAAACCCGTGGGCCAGAGCATCCTCATGTTCAGGTAGACAAGGTAAGGATCAGGAAGCAGAGCTGTTTAGTGAGGGTGTCTGGGAAGGTGCATTTACCTAAGTCAGCTGCATGGCCTAGTGCCTCTCTGGGCCTTCCTGTTTGAGGTTGGGAGCTAAGCTTTTTAAATAAGAAAGCCTTGGGCTCCTGGACAAGATGGCTTGGACAGTTAGGAGCAAGTAAAAATGTCTTCACTCTTTACATTCCTAAGCCTCTTCTTGGTTTAAGAAGGGTTGCAGGAGCCAGACATGGTGGTGCATACCTAGAGTTCCAGCTTCTCAGGAGGCTGAAGCAGGAGGCTCACTTGAGCACAGGAGTTCGAGGCTACAGTGAGCTATAACACCACTGTACTCCAGCCTGGGTGACAGAGACCCTGTCTCTTAAATAAAAGGGGATTGTACCACAGAGGTAGGCTGATGGGCTAATGGGTCAATGGGGGAAGCTACTAAATCACTCTCCTTGCTTCAGGGCAGTTATTCTGACTACAAGTGGCAGAATTAGATTCCTACATTAGGCCTAAAGGGAAGGCTTTTGGAAAGAAAATACTGGCAAACTCAAAGAGATGGAACAACCTTCAGGAAGGCCAGAAGCCAAACAACTCTGGACCTTCTGCCTCCAGAGCATGAGGACTTCTTCCCTCCATCCCTGTGACCAAACCAAGCCTGGACAGCCCTAGACATGGGTTGCAGTTTCCATATTTCCTGGAGACAGAGAGCTAGCCCTCATTTGGGCTAGTGTCCACCCTGCCTGGTGGGAAGGGGCAGCATTAGTGAAATTGTGAGCCAGACAGTCATACCAAAGAGTACCTACCAAAGTGAATTCTGCGACTCCCTATTTAATTTATAAATAAGCAATATGTTCATATGGCTTAAAACCCATTAATTTAGAAAAGGGTATATGGTAATACCTTTCCACCCACTCTGTGCCCCAATCTCAAAGTTGCTGTTCTGAGGAAACCAGTAATGCCTATACACAAGTGATAGGCATTTTTTTTTCTTTGTTGCAGTTTTTGGCTGTGGCTGGGTTCGAACCCACCACCTCTGGCATATGGGGGCGGCACCCTTCTCCTTTAGCCACAGGCACCACCCTAAATGATTAGCTTCTAAGACACCTGTTTTGCCCCTGGCTTTTTTCACTGAACGGATCATGAAGCTTATCCCTTTTTACTATTAATTTGGGAGTCATTGAGGGTACAAAGAATTAGGTTACATTGATATTTGTTAAAGTCCCTCTTATAATTGTGGCTTGTCCCTTATTCTCCATTACAGTTATACAGTATTCCACCATCAGGAGCTATTGATTCCTTTAACTAGATCCTTGTAGATGGGCATTTAGTTTCTTTCCAATTCCACTTCTCTACTTCTTAGGGCTATCATGGAGAAAACACAGTAACTTCTACAAAACTCAAGAGGATGCAAACTTATAGGTCTGGGCCAAACTTGGCTTATGTGAAATGTTTTATTCACTAACACTCATATCTTTAAACATTTTCTGAACTGGAAATATTTAAAAGGGGTGGTACCTGTGGCTCAGTGGGTAGGGTGCCAGCTCCATATACTGAAGGTGGCGGGTTCGAACCCGGCCCCAGCCAAACTGCAACAAAAAATAGCCAGGGATTCTGGTGGGGCCCTGTAGTCCCAGCCACTTGGGAGGCTGAGGCAAGAGAATCACTTGAGCCCAAGAGTTTGAGGTTGCTGTGACACCATGGTACTCTACCAAGGGCAAGAAAGCAAGACTCTGTCTCAAAAATAAATAAAGCTGACATTTAAAAAAAATTTTTTTTTAAGATAGGAGATTCAACTTAACGAATTTCTAATTTCTCTTAGAAAGAACTTAAGATCTGGCCATAACAGTCTGTGTTACTATATAACTCTTGGCCTGAGCCATGTGGAACAAGGGGAACAGGTGAGGGGTGTCCTTACCATGCTATTTGTTGTTGTTACCTGTCTGGTCCCAGGTTCATTTTAAGACAGGTATCACCTCCCTGCCTTCATAGCTGGCATTCTAAAAGTAGTAGTGTGCCCTCAGTGAGGGACCTAACGAGGTAAAGACTAGAAGCTGCTGTTCATTCATTCAGCTAACGTTTATTAAGACCTCAGTCAACACAGAAGACAGTTGTGTCCTCACAGCACATTTCCACTAGGACTTCTAACCACTGAAGGAAAACAGGACTCTGAGCAGCACTGGCCTGGCTGTTTTCAGAGGTGGTGGAGGGTATGCTTACACGTGTAGCATGTTAAGTGGCAGTCTCACTTGCCCAACCCCCATGCAATACTCTGCAAAGCTCTCCTGACTAAAGAGGGCCACAGCAGGTCGACAAGCAGCACCCACTCCTGGAAGCAAACAGGAAAAAGGGCAAAAACGGAGGCAGCAGGGGAAAATGTGTGTCTACTCCATCGATGACTGTGGTGAACACACAACGCCGAGAGTTTGTCTTCATTCAGAAACCACTTTTGAGCTTCCCTTTATTCCAATTCCATTACACCTGCGTGAAAGTGTCCGTTCTCCAGAGAGGAATGCTGGAATGAAGCGCCCGCCCTGCCCTTCTCCATTCTTCCCAGCCGGGGGCCCATGTGAACAGCAGGCCATTGTTGAGAAGTGCCTGTTGCAGTCATTCTCACGCCCCCACAGGCACTGCCCCACACTCCCACTGCTGGCCGCCAGGGCCCGTCAATAGGTCTTGTGTGAACTGAGCCCTGGTGGTCACGTCCAGCAGACACTGACAGACTGAGGCTTCCATTCTGCCAACGCAGAGCAGCCAAGCACTACAAAGAGGCTTCGTGCAGAAGTCATGGCCAGATTCTTGATGCCCATCCCTGTAAAGGGCAGATGCTTTCCTTGCAGGTTTCAAGCTTGGAAGGGACTGGGTCCTCCAGACCCCAGGGGGGATGCTGGTCATTGGTCCCCCATCTTGCTTCTTGAGTCTCATCCTTTCAGGATGATCTTGATAGCTTTAAGCTCATCTTGGTTGAGGGGGCTCAAGTTAAAACCCTTCAGCTCCGGTTTGCCTAGGAAAGACAATCCATCAGCAAGTCAGGCCTCCCACTGGTTCTGGAGTCAGGCCCAGGAAAGGGGCTGACTCTGCATTAGTGCTGCCAAACCTGGTCTGAGGTCTGATAGGGATGGGGCTCAAATTCTGCAAAGCACCAGATGAGGCATTGCTATCTATTCCTGGGTCACCGTGTATCTGCAAAGTCTTGGCTCTCCTGCCCAGACACCCCCAGAATTTTGCCACACCTGTGACCAATCTTAGGTTTATCTACAATTTCAGCTCTGACCTTGACCACCTGACTGAAGCCTTCATGAATTTCCTCAGTCAAAGCTATCCTAGTCCCCACCCCAGGCAGTTCCTGGAACCTGGCAAAGAAGCTATGACAAGAATAAGATGCCCTAAATTTCCCTGTCCATTCTATCTCTGGGCAGCTACAACCAACCACTCCCCATACCTCCAGTGCCCCTGACATGCTGCCAGGCCACTGCCTACCTCTGAGGGGCTTCCCACCCCTGCCCTGCAAAATCCATGTTGATGGCTCTCTGCCCTCCTGGTTTCCAGCTCCCCCCTGGACAATACCTTGGGCCTCAAAGAGGCGGTTGACCTTCACTTTAAGTTGTTTCCGGAGTTTTTCTATTTCTTTGTCCAGATGATCCTGATCTATAAAAATAAGGTAAGCGAACAGAGAATGAGGTTATACCACAGTCTGACCCAGGGATTAGAAACACCAGCCCCTCTGACAACAGGACACTTAGCATTTGGGAAGGAAAGGGGGACCTCAGAGACCAACTGAGGAAGGACTAAAAGATAGAAAGGACATGACCTGTCCAAGACCACTCAGAGAGCCTTTTGTGGTCAGTGGATCAGGAAGGCAACACCAGGATTTAGATTAACCCTCCAAATTCGGAATTTATGGAAAATTCAAATGCAAGAATAAAATGAAGCACCTATAGACCCAGACCAACCTAGATGGATGGAAAATGGGTCGCTGAGGAATTTTATAAACCCAAGTGTATCAAAGATAAGGAGTTTTTAGAAAAGCATTATTGGCTCAGTGCTCAGTGAGAAAAGCATTATAGCTCAGTGAGTAGGGCGCCAGCCACACATGCTCAGGCTGATGGGTTGGAGCCTAGCATGGGCCTGCTAAACAATAACTGCAGCCAGAAAATAGCCAACTGTTGTGGTGGGCACCTGTAATCCCAGCTACTTGGGAGGCGGAGGCAATTGAATCACTTAAGCTCAAAAGTTGGAGGTTGCTGTGGGCTGTGATGCCACAACACTTGAGGGTGACATAGTGAGACTCTGTCTCAAAAGCAAAGCAAAGCAAAGCATTATTGTGGAAACATGTGACCTAAATAATCAATGGACGAGCCTT